ACACTCAATCCATGTCAAAGAAGAGCCGGTGATTGCAGAGGATGAAGACTGTCCAATGTCCTTAGTGACAACAGCTAATCACAGTCCAGAATTAGAAGATGACAGAGAGATTGAAGAAGAGCCTTTATCTGAAGAGCTGGAATAAGAACTGACTTGTGAAACCTCAGTGTGAAGGGACATATCACTGACCTTCATAACCACTCCACAACCATGAATATTTGACAAATTTTTACTGTGACTATTTATTAAGTATGGATAAAGGAGACAGCCCTAAAGGAACTTATTAAGCCAGCCCTTTGGGATTCAGTACCAACAGGCAAATTGCTTGTTTGCGTCTCACTTTCTCTCTCTTCCTCTCTCTTTATCTTTCTCTTTATTTTTTTCTTTTCTTTTGTTTTTTTAGAAGATTAAAAAAAGACAAAAACTGATTTTCTTGAGACAAAAAGAACTGTTCTTTCTATAATGGCTTTGCCCATTAAAAAAAAATGTGGCTCTTAAGGGTTTATGAAATGACTGAATATGAGGATACATGTCCTGTAGAAAGCAAATGCGCCTCATATACTGCCAAAAATAGTGTTAGTTTCATTAATGTGAATTTTCCAGCATTCAGTAGTTGTAATGTTAGAAACAATTGCTGGTCAAGTTCAACTTGTTGCTATTGTTTTTAATTTGCACAGGAGTAGTATCAGAAATTAGTGTCACTGCTTGTATCTAGCTGAATTTTAAACAACAGAACATTAGTTTTTTTGTTTTTTTGTTTTTTATGTTGGTGCCACCAACTGTAAATGACATAAGTTAGTTATTACAAAACACAGTATTTAGACTGTTGCAACCATCTGAAACCTTAGGCTTCCAGTCTGTGCTGTTAGTGTTAAGATGTAAAGTGCAATCCTAAGCTAACATTATCTGTGCAAGCACCATAGAAACATTTGCATATCTGCATAGATCTTACAACTGTACTCTTTACCTCCTTGTGATAAAGCTTTGTCTACCTGCAAACACAGTCAAAGGCTACAGCTGCAAACCAAAGCCAACTCTAACCATGGCCAAGAGCTCAAGGACAGAAGCAGCCACATGCTTTGGTCAGCCTTCTGTAACTTCAATTCGTACAAAGGAACCTTTTCCATGAACTACCTGCTGTTTTCTGATGACCTCTGGGATCTTTTCATTTAGCCCTAAACAAAGAAAGAAACACAACAACAACAACAAATAACCACAACTAAAAGTGTTAATTCAGTCACAGAGTAATCTTCTGAGGCCAAATGTCCATCTACATGCAATGAAGATTTGCTTTCATTAAAGACAGAGGTGAGGACAAAATCCGCAGTGGAAGTTATGATATGCTAGAAAGCAACAAATGTGGATCACTGACCAAAACGATTATGTACTTGATGCAAATGCAGATTGCATATGGTTATATATATATATAGTACATTGTGTTTTTGTTCCCCCCCACCCCTTCCAGTCACTTATTTTCGGTGATGAGTACATGTTGTTAGAAGATGTCTTGTATGGTCCAAATCTTTGTTGTGTACTATTTTTTTATAGTCTTAAGTTATAATGAAAAAAAAAAAAACACAAAAAACAAAAAAGTAGGAACCAAACATAAAAGGTCTAGTAAAGCCAAAAATTAATTTCATATTGATTTTAAAGTGATCTAGCTGAGTTTTTACACTGAAAGCAAAGATTATAGCAATTGTAGTCCATGGTATTTATTTTCAGTCAAACCAAAGTTACATATAATTCTGCCTCTTCTTATACGGGATACTAACACTAACAATACACTCCCTTCAAAGACTTGCGCAGGCCAAATTGTTGGAATGCTGGTTTTCTTGACAACTCCAAACCCCCAAAACTATGATAACACATTATGATGTTGTGGAAGATAGCATAGTCAGATGTTTGCTTAACCCTAGAAACTTTCCGTGTTGCTTTTCATGTGCTGTGCCAAGTCTTGATAATACTTTTTCCCCCAACCAAGGGACCTCATAACCTGATTATGGTTATTGCTTTACAAACAGTTTTGACAGAAGGTGGCTGCTAGAGCTTAACATACATACCAGTTCCATGTGATGGAACAGGTTCTTGCAAACTAAGCTCATTTGTTTATTCTTTGCTGAAATCAGCAAATAGAGTTAGAGAGATACCCAGTCATCTATCACACCAAATAAAAGGACATACGGCTTTCAAAAGGGTTTTCCCACTTACCCAAAAGGCTTTCTGAAAGCTTCTACCTCTGCAAAAAAAAAATCAAAAAACAAAAAACAAAAAAAAAGAGAAAAAAAAGAAAAAAAAAGAAAAAAATTAGAACAATTATGGCAGATTGCATGAAACGTGAGAACGTCGCAGTAACTGCTACTTTTCATTATGTTTGTCTTTGGGTCATGATCAATGAACCGGAAGTTTTGGATATGGTATCAAAAGAAAGATTGGTATTGTGAAGGATGGTTTTCAGTCATCTAGGATCCTGCTATAAGGATTATCTGAAAGGAAAAATGAGTCTTTCGGGTGCATGTTTCAAATGCTTCGATGAACTGAAAGTTACAGTGAGAATTGTACCAACAGAAGGGTGGCCTAAGACTGCAATGCTAAAGTATGCATACCTCAGTTACAAAACTTTTGAAAGGAAGTCTCAGCCACAGAATGCATATACCTGTAGAGTTTTGCATGGGTTTTATATGAATACAATTAAAAAGAAATAGCTGCTTGCACATTATACCAGAAAAACCTCCAAAACTGCAATTGCTTTGAAAATAGATTTTAGGTTTTTTGGAGTTTTCTGAAATGCTTGGTCTGTATTTTGATAATTGTGCATATTATGTAAAAATGTTGGTGGACCCATAAATGACCAGACTTTTTTCTAAGAAAAATGTTGCTTTAATGCATTTCATGAATTTTTACTCTTATATCATTGCTTGCTAGTAATAGCAAATCTGCTTTTCTGCATCTGCTTTGCGTAGCTATTGTAAGGCTTTGAACTAATGTATGTATTTATTGCTTGAACTTCTGTGCATACCTTATAAAGCATAATGTCTGACAATTTAAATGGCTCATGTATTCTTGCTTCTATCATAAGCTGATTCTGGGGACTATGATCTTTTGTATACAGCAAATTTTAACTGTAGCACAAACATCTGTTTATGTATTGGTGGGATATACCTGTTTTATTTATCTTTTTTGAGGTAAACTAATTTTTGATACTTTTCATTACTGTGTACTATGTTCATACTTTGAATTCTCTGACGTTAGAAGTCATGGTTGAGAATTGTAACAGCTGTTATTTGTTCTGTATTCATGGCTTTCACTGCTGAATAAAATAAAGGACCAAACCTAGGATTTGAAAGAAAACTGTCTACCTCTAACACCAGGGAGTTATCAGATTTTATTTTACATAGTTCTAGTCTACAAAGACACAATTGCTTAAACCTAGTGGGCTTAAGGCTTATATTCTATGTGGTTGGATTCATGGCACAGTTGTACTGTTTGAAAATCAATTAAAATTTTATGTGACTGTTACAAGTATTTGGTAGAATTACCACTAACTGGGTTTTCTTTCGATAACTCAGATCTGGAGAAAAAAAAAAGTCATCAGCATTCTGTGTCTACAGCTGCTGAACTTCATAAGAATGCAATTCTTTGTGATTAGGGAATCGAAGGATAGTCAGCTAGGAATAGAGCTACAGAAGTACACTTAAAATAAACCATCCTGGACTTTAATGTCTCTGGGCATATTCAGTCACAAAATCCAATAGACTATTTTGTAAAGTTTTCAAATTGGGCATTTACATTTTTGAGAATTGGTGAGATTTCATCTTACACATCCCAATATTAACAGATATTTAGACAATAGCTTTATTACTGCCATTGAGCTATTGAAAGGAACATGGCTCACCCTTGTTATTTCACTAGTTCAGGTTGCAAGGAAAGATCTTCTTTGTTGTTGTTTGGAATTTTTTTTGGTTTGTTTTGATGGGAGTTTTTGTCCAGGAACACTTGGCATATCTTACTTAGCCAAAAACAAAAACAAAAAAAATTTAAAAAGAAAAAAAAAGGAAAAAATATAAGGAAAAAAAAAACAAGGATGTACATTTTACTATAGAATTAATGTATGAACAGTGTGTTACTACTGTCGGATGTAAAAATGTATATGAAACCATTTCATTCACTTGATTACATTTCTGAAGTATAAATAAAAAAAATCTAATTCTTTTTGATCCATTTATAGCCACTAGGATTTTTATTCTTTCGGAGAGATCATTCTTCCATATTAGAGTCAAACCATAAGCTTGGGTCCACATGTCCCACAATTTGTTTAAAATTATTTCCATAGGAATTGGGAACTCCTAAGTCAGACCATACTCAAATTTAAGCAATAAAGGTGGGGCTTTCTGTCTAATTCAGTGCATTAAAAATGACCTTCACATTCAAAATTTACTTTTACATATGTTATATTTTAATTTTTTTACAATAATACATTTTGACATGATAAAATTAAAACCTTAAGAAAGACCAGAGGATGCTGGGTGTAGTGGCTTAAGCCTATAATCCTAGCTATGGGCCATGGTGGTTCAAGACTAGCTTAATGCATAAAAGTATACAAGATTCTGTCTCAAGAATGGGCGCCGGTGGCTCATGCCTGTAATCCTAGCTACTCAGGAGGCTGAGATCTGAGGATTGTGGTTCAAAGCCAGCCGGGGCAGAAAAGTTCGTGAGACTCTTATCTCCAATAAACCACTAGGAGACCGGAAGTGGGACTGTGGTTCTAGCGGTAGAGCGCTCGCCTTGAGCTGAAGAGCTAAGGGGCAGCGCCCAGGCCCAGAGTTCAAGCCCCACGACCGACAAAAAAACCGCTGGGTATAGTGATGTGTACCTGTTATCCTAGCTACACAGGCTAGCCCAAGCATAAAGATAGTCCCTACCTCAAAAAATAAACAAATAAACAAATAGGACTGATGGAGTGACTTAGAGTGGTTAAGGGCCTTCCTAGCAAGTGAGAGGCACTGAGTTCAAATCCTATTCGTCCTATCCTTGATGCCAAGGATAAAAAATGATTTTTTTTTCCTTTTTGCCTCAAACCATCAGTAACACCTCTGGTATCTTGCCATCATTTAGGAAAAATGTTTAGGGGTAGGGTAAGTGACCTTCCGAGGGGCTGATTTTTAAGCTGTTAGGGATCTTTGCCAGACATACTAGTAGCAAAACCAGGCAACATGGGACCTCAAGAGAAAAGTGTATGTAAAAAAATTCCACATGTATTTATGTATTCCTGAAACAGTCGTAATCAAGAATAGAAGGAAAATGAGTATGTGGAGTTTATTTTTATTTTATGTGAAATTAATGTTTCTGTCATCTAAGGGGAAGGGTACCCTGACTAAAGCACTCTCCATAGGGCAAAAAAATGTTTTAAAAGCAATGTAAGCACGAGATTAATTTTCTTAAAACTTAGAATTTATTTCTTCACTATCAATTAGTTGAAAGTAACTGAAAATTAACTTGAGTTGTCTAGTGTATTTTGTTAACATACTAAAGGCAGTGTAACAGGTACAAATGCAATTTTGACTTTTTTTTTACCCTTTGATAAAACAAGAGAACAATTCAGTGATTCAGAGCAAAAATTACAATTTAAGACAGAAAAAAAAAATGACCTGGTAAATATTTTCTCCTTAACCCTAAATTCAGACACATACTATCTTAATTTAAAGCAGTGTTTTATACAGATATATTTTGTGGGTTCAATGAGCAACTTAGTGGCTTTGTGAAAACTTTTTCCCTAATTTATCTTTGAATCTTTAAAAAAATGTGAATGGCCAGGCAGTTGTGGCTCACGCCTGTAATCCTAGCTACTCAGGAGGCTGAGATCTGAGGATGACAGTTCAAAGCCAGCCCAGGCAGGAAAGTCAGTGAGACTCTTTATTTCCAATAAACCACTAAAAAACCGGAAGTGGCGCTGTTGCTCAAGTGGTAGAACACGAGCCTTGAGCTGAAGAGCACAGGGACAGCGCCCAAGCCCAGAGTTCAAGCCCCAAGATCTACCAAAAAAGTAAAAATAAATAAATAAAAAGTGTGAATGAATGAATGAATAACTCTCACAAATCTAATTGAATACACTAGAACTACACATGGCCATTCACATCTGCACCTACGTTGCCTCAACAATATCAGTCCATTTCTACACAACAGAGAAAGCTTTGAAAATGCTAGGTACAAAACTACCTCAAGAGGATGCATAATCTGAGAAAGTAAAATGTACCTTCATGCTGGTCATGTTGGCAAATGAATAAGTAGAAATATCAATAGAAGAAGTAAATTTTATGACTTTCAGGGAAAATTGCATTTGCAGATAATCATCATATTACTTAAATCAATCTGAAAAAAATATATATGTATTCCCACATCCACAAATACTTTAGAAACAAAGTCAAACCCAAAGTTTTAAGCCCATAGATATTGCTAATTTATCACTTTCCTATGAAGATTTACTCATAAGTCTTTGAAGTAAATATTAAACTCTTTTGTAAAGCTAAAGTTGATCCCGTCCCCTAAATTCATGGATCTTCAGTTTACAATGCCATTCTAGAAAGAAAATGCCTTCAAATACACACTGTCCTTCTCTTTTTACTTAGTATATTGCCCTTCTCTTTATATTTATCCCTGTAGTACAAGGATTTGACAGTGAACGTGCACATGGGAAAGGACAGAAAGGAGAACACAAAGAGTATGTTAAAAAAAAGTTCCTTACTTTGCTTTCTGTCTTAAAAATTAACATTAACTGATGATAAAAGAACACAATAAATAAAAACATTAGTCAGGCACTGGTGGCTAATGCCTAGAATCCTAGCTACTCAGGAGGCTGAGATCTGAGGATCTTGGATCAAAGCCAGCCCAGGCACAAAAGTCTGTAAGACATATCTCCAATAAACCACCAGAAAACTGGAAGTGGCGCTGTGGCTCAAGTGGTAGAGTGCTAGCCTTGAGCTGAAGAGCTGGGTGTAGTGGCTTAAGCCTATAAACCCAGGCCCAGAATTCAAGTCTCACGACTGACCCCCCCCCCCAAAAAAAGAAGACAACCTAGGGAAAAGTGATAAAAATTTAAAAATAGCAAGTCCCCTGATACAAAGTTGTAATGACCCTATATTTACATATCTGCCCTAAACTTTAAAAAAATGTAAGCAACAGGCTGAAAACCTTCAAAATTAAACTGTACCCTATAATTTACACATATTATTTAGTATCCTATAACAAAGAAAGGA